ATATCTATTAAATTGTTAATGTTTCAATGGAGTGTTCCTGTAGTAGTTAAAAGGGCTGGCCCAATCTGCTGTCCAGTGTGAGTATACTATTGGTCAGTATGGATTTTCACAGAGTGCTGTGTTTAAGGTTTTTGTTTCCTTTAAAGAACCACTATAGTGCCAGGAAAACATACTAGTTTTCCTGGCACTATAGTGCCCTCACCCTCAGGGTCCCCCTCCCGCCGGGCTAGATGGAGAGGAAGGGGTTAAACACTTACCTTTCTCCAGCGCCAGGCTCTCCGCCATCGACAAAGCGCATGCGCGGCAAGAGCCGCGCGCATTCAGCCAGTCTCATAGGAAAGCTTTCTCAATGCTTTCCTATGGACACTGGCGTCTTCTTACTGTGAAAATCACAGTGAGAAGCGCAGAGGTGCCTCTAGCGGCTGTCACTAGAGGCTGGATTAACCCAAAAGTAAGCATAGCAGTTTCTCTAAAAACTGCTAGGTTAAAAGAAGAAAGGGTTAATCCTAGGTGGACCTGGCACCCAGACCACTTCATTAAGCTGAAGTGGTCTGGGTGCCTATAGTGGTCTTTAAATTAACTTTTTAGACAATCAAGATGCAATTATTTAGGGTACCACAGCTCACATTTATATGGCAGTTTTTCAGGAGCATAAACTATTTATTAAAATATTCTATGGACAAAAGCATGTTTATATCTTTCAAACTATAATTTAAAGGAACACTATAGTGTTAGGAATACATATGTGCTTTTATTTACCTTTTTTTTGCGCCAGTCTCGCTGCGGATGGCCCCGCCTCCATGTCAGAGATCAAAATGGATGATCTCAGCTAATCCATGAGAAAGCATTGTGAGGATCTCATTCATGCTGCGCTAATCAGCATTTCCTCATAGAGTTACATTGAATCAATGCATCTCTATTGGCAACGTTCAGTTCCTACATACAGAGCGTCGGGATGCAGATCATAGATGCTGTACACTGTGCAATACTGTACTAGGATGCACCTTTAGTGGCAGTGACTAGGCACCACTGTAAAATCCTGAAGGAACAGGCTACAGCCACCAGAACCACTACATTAAACTGTAGTCATTCTGGTGACTATAATGTCAATTTAGGAAGTACACAAAAGGCTAGTTCTTCTTTGACGGTTAGAGTGATCCAACAAAAATTTAGGCTGGACAGAGGGGAGTGATGAAATGAAAATAAATGAGGTTTTATGAGTGAACTACATTTTCAGTCTGTACAAAGAGTTCCTTCATCTTCTGTGGAAACCTTTCAAATGGCTGTTAAACCCATGCATTCCATTCTCCTTTCAACTGAATAGGAAAATTGACTAAAGATATAATTTATGATAGCATTTCCTTTTTGCTCCTTTTACCTTAGCAAATAGTTTGACTACTTACATGGGGGGGTTGGGTGCCATCCCCTCTACCATGTGCTATAGTGATTATGATGCTTGGTGTATTCCTTTTAGCATATTACAGTTCAGAGAATGTAAAGTCAGGGCAAATCACTGCAGATGAGGAGTAGAAAATCTGGGGTATGCTTCCTCTGCTTTTCACAAATATGTCTATACTTTACAGTGGCAGAAAAATGCCTTCACTTTGCGGTCAGAAAAATTGGTGGAAATATTCATAAATCTGTTATGCTGGTGGAATTATTAGACGGACAGTACAGGCATGAAAACTTTAGCTTAATAAAGCTGCTTTGGATGCCTCTGAAGTCTCACTGATCAGTTCTCTGCCATTTAAGAATCAGATCACTTTTGTTTTACCTCACCTGGCTGTGACCCACCCTGCCTGCATGAAAACAAGAGTGGTTTTATTTCCAGTCAGATAATTTGCTTTGATGTTTTTATCTCCTGCTCTGTAATAAAATAACATTGTAAATTAAAAGTAAATTGAACATTAATCACACACAGGAGGTTCCTGCAGTATCTAGCAAGCTATTAACAGATCAAAAAATGAGAAATTTAAAATTGTCAGGGGGCAACAAAAAAGATGAAAAGCAATCTGATTTAATAAATGGCACTAAAAATGTTCTAAAAAGTAGACTGAAAAGTGTTTCACATTTCCTCTTCGGCCTTTCTCTACGCTAACTGCCTGGGGCAAACCAAACAAGAGAGCAGGATGAATCTGTTTGGGTGTCTACATTTGTTGTTATTTTTAACAAATAGATACAAAGATAATGAAACAGAATATTAAAATCCTGGAAGTGATCGTTTCAATCCCAGATTGTTATTAAGTCTCCTGGTGATTTAAATCTACAGTGCAGGCTTTTGTTACTAGTTGTAGCTTAGTATTTGAAGATGGAAATTATTTCATTTGATCCTATATGTGCATAATGTAAATTCTTGTGTGCTTTGGGTATTGGATGTTGAGCCTGCATCACGCCTTTTACAGAAAGCATGTTCTCTTTTCTGCGGATGCTCCACTTAGCTAGAAAATATATAGGACTATAAGCTAAGAATAGACATGAAGGAAAGCATTTATTTAGGGAAGGAATTTTTCAATGAACAAAAACATCATAACTAATATTTTACATGAAAACTGGAAGTGATGAGGGGACATGAACCTAGGCCCCAAACCGCAAACCCGAACATGGCTTGCAGCTTCACAACCACAGTAGTCCTTAATGGACAAAGTGAAAAGCTGTAACGTAGCATCAGGACCCTCCTCTTAGTGCAAGGACTAAATGTAGCACTGAACCACCTTGTATCTTGTAGTCATTAGCAGTCTTTTCGTCGTTCCTAGGAAAAGAGAACATAACCATAAGAGGGGCTTGGTAAACTACATAATTATACATTGCAAACTGAATCAAACAAGTGGTTACATGCTGATATAGTGATTATGGTAAGGCTGTTGAGCAATTTGACCAGAACTGGGAGGTCCCTGAAGCACCCATGTTCCAACCCACACTCACTGAAATTGCAGATGCAGAAATTCACTTCCTAATTATCATGATCAATTAGTCCATATGTGGATGACATCAATTTCCTAAATGAGCCAGTTGACATGCTCAGTCAATCAATTATATCCAAATATGGTTAAAATTAATATTACTAATGTCGAAGTGGATCTTCCTTTTTAACCCAGCATGCAGCCAAGACTACCCCCCTCATCCTTCCTAGCATTTAGCCAATAGTACCCCCTAATCTTTCCCAGCAGGCAGCCAATATTAACCCCTAATCCTTCCCAGCATGCAGCCAATGCAGAAATTCACTTCCTAATTATCAAAATCAGTTAGTCCATATCTGGATGACATCAATTTCTTAAGTGAGCCAGCTGACATGCTCAGTCAATCAATTCTATCCAAATATGGTTAAATGAACACTATAGAGTCAGGAATACAAACATGTATTCCTGACCCTATAGTGCTAAACCCACCATTTAGGTGGCTTGCCCCCCTACCCCCCACTCCTAAAAAGGAATTAAAACTCACCTTATTTCCAGCTATGCATGGGTCCACCGGCGCTGGCCCCACCCATTTCATGAAAATGCCTGCATTTAATGATTACACTCACCAGAACAACTACATTAAGCTGTGGTTGTTTTGGTGACTATAGTGTCTCTTTAAAATTAATATTACTAATGTGGAAGTGGATCTTCATTTTTAACAATCATGTCAAGCAGGAGCCAGGCTGTGGAAATGCTGAGTTTTGGATAAAGAGCTCCAAACTTTTTTGACCAAGAAAGTGTGGACTACGCTCACAGGCCTACAGCAGGCTAAGCAAAATATTGGTGTGTGGTGGTTAGACTATAGGCACCCAGACTATTTCAGCTCATTGAAGTGGTCTGGATATACTGTCCTTATTGCACTTAGTGCTGCAATATTTACACTGCAGCACTAAGTCTGCCTACTGTGGCTGTCTACCAGACAGCTTCGTATTTCTGACACTATAGTATCACTTTATTGAGATATCAGTAGGATAAACAGACAGGCATGTAGTGCAATAAAACATATAATCCTCATCCTGAGTTGCAGATATGTGTGCCCCTTTTAGGAGAATACATTCTGAATGTTTTGTCCAGACATCCACATAGAAAAATGTAACTTCATTCCACAGACATGTGGACTCTCTCAGGATGTAGAGGGCACTCTACGGTGGAATAATATTACATGGTGCTACACATGATCAGCTTACATTTGTTTCCCACTATAGATCAGCCTTTGTTGTTGTGGTGGGATACCCTCCTTTTCCTCCACCCGTTCCTTTATTCTCTCAACCTATAAGTAACCAAAGGCAGTGGAATTACAGATCAACTGTACACAATACACACTCAACATATTACAAATATATAATGCATTTTGTTTTTACCATGCACAGAATTTACCCTCCTCAACAAACATATAGTTTAATGATGTGTATACATATAAAGGTTTTCTGTATTCATTGAAAATTATGTCTATAAATCCATAGTTATAAAACATCTAAAGATATACATTGTTAGCATCCCTGAGTTAAAGAAACACTTGCTGAAGTGCTTTTAATTGGGAAGTGTCTATTTTTCTCATTTTACAAAAGTATTCAGATTTCAATAGAAATTACCCCTTTATAAATTACCTTGTTACACTCCCTGACTCTGTCAACGAGACAACAGTCCTGTTACTACCTAGTTTAGCTTATTGGAGCTAAACTCCAGAGGCAGGCAATTGCAGAGGTAATCGGCCTTGAACTGCATTTGGAAGTCTGATTTGTCGTCCACAGAAAATCTGGGTTGTGAAAGAAGGTGGGGGGATGGGGCTTGTAAAGGCGTCAGAGAATATACCTGCAGCCTTTGCAAGCGTTTATTAGATACACCCTCACCAGTGAAAAACACATAATTAAAGGAATGTATGATCTCATTTGGGATATATCTACTAAATATTGTTTTCATATTTTTATTTGGGCATAAGTGTCTCTTTAAAATTTTCCTTGGGCCTCCATTGACACAATGTACTCAACCTTTGCATGTTCTACATACTGTAGACCTAAGAATGAACATGTCACAGTGTTATACTTGTTTCAGTTTCACCCATTGCAAACAGGTGAACAAAATGCAGCACACATAAGATATCTTTATAGACAAATATTGGCAGTACAAGAGCTCAATGATGTTAAATGTGGCACTGTCATTGGGTGTCAGCTTTGCAATAAGTCAGTTTATAATATTTCTGTCCCAGTCAACTGTAAGTGATATTATTGTGAAGTGAAATTGTGTGAACTGGTAGACCATGGTTAGGCAATCTTCAGCACTCCTGATGTTGTGGACTACATCTCTCATAATGCTCTTACAGCTATAAAGTTGACAAAGGATCAAGGGATACGTAGTCCACAATATCTAGAGTGCTAAAAGCTGTTTAACTTTTAGGTAGATCCTGCATACTCACAGAGCAGGGGCATGAGTGCTGAAGAGGATAAAAATCACCTATCATCTGTTGCATCACTCATTCCAGAGTTCCAAACTGCCTTTGGAAGCAGCACAAGAACTGTGCATCAAGAGCTGTTCCATGCGTTCCATGGCTGAGCACTTGTACACAAGCCTCCATATGACTCTGGAGCAATGGAAATGTATTCTTTATTGTGGTGAATCACTCTTCACTGAATGGCAGTCCAAGGGGAACAGACATTGCAGCGATTCAGCCCACAACGGGGCCCTTTGTCAAGCCGTTTTATTTTGAGTACATGGCACACCAGATCAGCATGATGCCATACAAATGGGTTCTCTGGTAAATGATCCGAGAATTTTCCCTGTAGCTCTGACTATACAGGAATTATACATTTGTGTGTTTGCTACAGAGAAAGGACACAATGCATGTCAAATACACGAAAAGTGTGTAAAAGAAACTGTAGTCGTATCTTTGTTAGAAAAACGGACTACCATTTTGTGCATAAAATTGCATAATTCATTACTGTACACTACATCCGCGATGCCCGTCTTGCTACAGACACTAAATCAGTTGAAATAGTTATACCAGGCAACCACAAAACATTGATGTGCACTAAAATTGATCTATATTTTTTCTCAGAAGGGGAAGCTACAGTGCCAGGTAACTATAGTTTCCCTTTAAAGAAATAACTTCAGACTTCTTACCTAGCATCCTCCGAGCGCTGCTCCCCATCTCTACTATTTTTAAAAAAAATATTTTCATGTCTCCTCAGCCCATCTCCTCTGTGCTGCTAAGCCAAACACAGCCACCTTTGCTGGTACAAATTGCCATGGTTACCTAGCAACATGAGTCCCTCATTAAAAGCAAACTGCTGAAATATGGTTTAACATTGCTTGAGAGGGAGAGTGCCATTGGACTGCAGTCATCATAATCAATTCTATAAAATGGTTAAGCACCTTTAGTGTCCCCTTAAGGATTCCCATCCTACTAGCAGCCACACAGTTCTCAGATTTAGCCCCTATTACACCTAAGTGCAGCACCCTACCCAACACTACCTCGGTCGAGATATTTTTATTTGCATTTTCGACTTTATTCCGATTTATCTCGATTTATCTCGATCTCGATTTATCTATCTATTTATTTATTTCGATTTATTTATCTTTATCTCTGATCTTTTATTTCGATCTTTATCCATTTCGATCTTTTCGATCCATTTATTTCGACATTTCGGTCTCGATCTGCATTTTATCTACCTTATTTCGGCGGATGTATTTTTATTTATTTTTCGATCTCGATCTGGCGATTTATCTTCGATCTCGATCTGCATCTCGAGATCTTCGATCTCGATCTGGCGATTTATCTTTCGATTCTCGATCCATTATCTTCGGTCTCGATCTTATTTCGATCCGCATTTCTCGGTCTTTCGATCTTTCGATCTTCGATCTGCATTTCTTTATCTTATTTTCATTCTTTATTCTTTCGATCTGGCATTTATCTTCGATCCGCATCTCGGTCTTCGATCCTGATCCTTATTTATTTCGATTCATTTATTTCTTTCGATCTTACTTTATCTATTTATCTTTTATCTTTCGATCTGGCATTTATTTCGGTCTTTCGATCTTATTCTCGATCTCGATCCATTATTTCATCTGGCGATTTATTTCGGTCTCGATCTATTTATCTCGATCTCGATCCATTTATCTCGATCTCGATCCATTTATCTTCTTCGATCCATCTCGATCCATTATCTCGAGATCTTTCGATTTATTTCGATCTTTATCTTCGATCCATTTATCTCGATCCATTTATTCCTCGATTTATCTTCGATCTTTATCTCGATCTCGATCTTTTATTTATTTCGATCTGGCATTTCGATCTTTTATTTTTATCCGGCGCATTTATTTCGATCTGGCATTTATTTCATTCCATTTATTTCGATCTATTTTCGATCCGCATTTATCTCGATTTATCTCATTTATTTATCCATTTATTTCGATTTTATCTCGACGCATTATCCATTTATTTTCGATCTTTATCTGGCATTTATTTTCGATCTATCCGGATCTGATTTTCGATTATTTCGCCTGATCTTATTTATTTTATCCGGCGATTTATCTTTCGATCTGATTTCGATTCTTCGATCCATTATTCTTCGATTTTATTTTCGATCTCGATCTCTTTTCATCTTGCATTATTTATTTCGATCTATTTATTTATCTTTCATTTATCTTTCTTTCGATCTTGCTTATTTATCTTTATCTTTCGATCCATTTCGGTTATTTCTTTTATTTTCGATCTACATTATTTATCTCGACTTTATCCAGGCGATCTTCGATCTTCGATCTCGATCTCGATCTCGATCCATTCTTCGATCTTCGGTCTCGACTATCTTCGATTTATCTCGATTTTCGATCTGATTTATTTATTTCGATCTTTCGATCTCGATTCTTTCGATCTGATTTATCTTCGGTCTCTTCGATCCATCTCGATTCTCGAGATCTCGATCTCGATCTCGGTCTTCGATCTCGATTTATCTTTCGATCTGCATTTTCTTTCGATCTTATTTCGGTCTCGATCCATTTATTTTCGGTCTTTATCTCGATCTCGATCTCGATCTTTCGATCCGCTTATTTTCGACTTTTCGATCTACATTTATTTCGATCTTAAGATTTATTTCGATCTTTTCGATCTGGCGACATTTATTTCTTTTCGATCTCGATCTTATCTTCGGTCTTTATCTTTCGATCCATTTATTTCTCGATCTTTTCGATCTATTTATTTATTTTTATCCATTTATCTCGATCTTTCGATCTATTTATTTCGGTTTATCTGGCGATTTATTTATTCTGATTCATTTATTTCGATCTTAACTTTCGATTCTTCGGTCTTTCCGATTTATTTCGATCCATTTATTTCGGTATTCTTTCCGATCTGATTTATCTCATGACATCTCGCCCGATTTTCCGATCTATTTCGGCATTTTTCGGTTTTATTTTTTATTTATTTTTTTATCTATTTATTTCGGCATTTATTTTTCGGCGACATTTATCTCTTCGGTTCTTTCCGATCTTATTTATCTTTTCGAAATTCCGATTTATCTTCCGATCTGCGCATCTTTTATCCTGATTTATCTTCGGCGACTTTCGCCCGATCTATCTCGATTTATCTGATTTATCTCGATTTATCTCGATCTTACGCCCGATTTATCTTCGATCTCGGCGATTTATTTTCCGATTTCGCCTGTATATTTATTTCGGCATTTCCGATTTATTTCGGCGCATTTATTTTTCTGACATTTTTATTTTTTTGCATGACGATCTGAAATCCTTGACTGAGCCTGACCTGAATAATACTCACAACAATGGGGATTGGGGATTCGGTCGGTCATTGTCCCTCCCCCCACCCCCGTTCTCGGATATAATTCCCGCTGTTTACCTTCACTTTAATAAGCATGGTGCCTGATCTCTCAGCCGCTAACTCTACACCCGCTCCCCAGCGCTCTCAGACCGCTTCCGGGTCAGGGCACGGCACCGACGTTAGCGGTGACAGCCCAGTGACGTCATTCGGCCAGGACGCTGCTGGGAGCAAGGTGCGGACACGGCACTGCCAACAGCCACCGCCATTCAGGAAGCTCACAGCCAGCCAGCTCGAGCCGGGTATAGGGTTAAAGCCGTGCTGAGCGGCTGGAAGGGCAGTCTGTAGAAGTGGATGTGACAATAAGGTCATTCAGTGATTAGATACACCGTTGCTGCTCACAATGCATTATCCACTGGCAGCACGGCTGGCTGAGCGTTGTGGGAAGCGCAGTCCCCAATTAATCAAGTAACAGTATTAATCCCTGCTATTAATCTCATACTCTGCTAATATATTATATTATATCTGTGACTTGGTGTTCATGCATGTCCCCTTCCTCTGTGTGTCACCCCATGCACCTTGCTCCCCCTCTAGTGACATTCCTGCTCAGTTCCCTTTATCTACCCTTTCATTCCTTTCTCGACCACACAGGGATCAAGATGCCTCGAATAGACAACGACATCAAGTTGGATTTTAAGGACGTTTTGTTAAGGCCAAAGAGAAGTACTTTGAAGTCACGTAGTGAGGTATGTTACCTTGCAATTACAATAAAGCAAATTCATATCCCAACCATATAGGGGCAATAGCTCGTTGTCACATTAATATATTTATTATTATAATTAGCCGAATTGTTATATAGTTAATTTAGGGTTTAGCTGGTGAAGCTATCTGTAAAGTTTAGCTTTATTTTCAATTGCTATCTACAAATTCAGCAGCGCTGAAACACTGCAATCTTGAAGGTTAGCAGCATTCTGCCTAAAGTCTGGGATAACAGTACTTGTGTGAAACGTTGAAGCTTTGGATCAAAGTATAATTTTGAAGAGCAAACATGACACTAATATGTTTAATCATTTATCACTGTGATACTTTTAGTGTTCACTTCATCATAGAGCTGTAAACATATGCTGGGCTAGCAATTAGTGAACACAAGACAATGTTAAATGAAAATAATTTTTAATCCAAAATACAATTACTGACAGTTATGAAAAACATGCCTAACACCCAGTCATCGGGAATGAGGGCTATTGTTATTTACTTTTACTGTAAAATATTAACGTTATTTAGGTGACTTTGTTTACAAATGTATTTTTGTGAAGGTCACACAGTCATGGTTTTACAATTAGATATCCCTGAATCATCAGATGTGTATATATAAAAAAATTACACAGAATACATTTATATATTTAAAAAAAACATAAAACAATTTCTGCATAATTAATACTTTAAAATGTGTAGCAGCTGTTCTCATCCTTTTGAGTTACACAGTAGCAATTGTGCCATATTTATGAACAATGTTAGAATGCTGTTCTCTCGTGTTAAATATAAATGGCTATTACACTGTTTAAATTGTAGTATTTATTATAATCAGGGGATTAGAGATAAATGTTCACCCATTATTTTGACATACCAAATTAATCCAATATTTAATTTCTATCTAAAATACAAGCTAGAACCTCTGTATTATATTCTTGACATTTTGTGATTTACTATCGTCTAATTAGGCGTCTATTATTGAATAAGAAGACATAAGACACAATGGCTTTTTAATAGTATTTTACTTGGAAGGATTACTAGCAGATATATTGTTGACAACAATTGTTGCGAGAAAAAAATAACTGTTTTTTACAATGAGTAAAGTCCCTATATTTTCTGTAGTCAATTATATTAAAAGAGTTGGTGTGGAAACACGTTATTCCTGTATGGTGAAAAGTGGGTTGTGGTAGCTCAGCTCTAACTGCAGTATTACATAGATACAGACAAGGGCAACCAGCCCTTCATCCCTATGATGTTTATGAAAGAAGACCCTTAAATTGGGTAATAATAGCACTGAGACCTTAGGACATACTTAGCATCTTAACAACTGATGTTATCACAATTAAACACAATCCACTTTAGGTAACTGTATTGCATTGGAAAGAAACAAAAGAGGGTGTGTCATTACAATACCCTGTAGTTGCCAAGCAACTTTTAAATACAGTGTCTGATTGTATATTCTGGAATCTGAAGGAACAATTTTGTTTGATGGTTTTAATTTTAAGCTGCATAGTTAGTTGTCTCTAGGGCAGGGGTTCCCAATTAATTTATCCTGTGGAACCCTTTGACATAGTGTGTCAACATGGTGGAACCTTTTTTTTTCTATGTGCTAGTGTGTGTCTGTGTATCAAGGTGTAACTGTGTTTGTGTGTATCTGTGTGTGCATGTATCTGACACACAGATACACACACACACACACCTTGACACACAGTGTGTATCTGTGTGTCAAGGTGTATGTATCTTACACACACAAATACACACACACACACACGTACATAGATTGACACACAGATACATATACCTTAACACACAGTGTGTATCTGTGTATGTATGTATCTGTGTGTCATAGTGTGTACCTGTGTTTTTGTGCCAGTGCGTGTCAATGTGTGTGTATGTCTGTTTGTATGTGCCATGTACACACAGATACAAACACACTGGCACATAGTGGCACACAGATACACACACATTGTGTGTTTCGGTCTGTGTGTCAGTGTGTATCTATGTGTGTATGTGTCTGACAAATAGTGGCCCACAGATATACACATTGACAGATACACACCTTGAAAAACACATACACACACTGAGAGATACACTGACACACCTTGACACACATATATACACACAGTGACGCATACACACATTGGCAGATACACGCACATACACATGTTTAACTTACCTTCTTTCTTCCTTCAGTGTTGCAGGCCGCTGGCTGAGGATGGCGTGTCAAGTTGGCAGTTGCTCACTACCCGTCACGCTCCCCCTCCCTCCAGCTCTCTGTCTGGGAGAAAGTGCTGACACTTCCTCCCAGCATCCAATACAACAGGGGTCCGGTCGCGGTCTTAGAATTGGCGCCTGTCTTAAAGGACCACTATAGTGCCAGGAAAACATACTCTTTTTCCTG